TCGGACGCGGGTTCGAGACCCGTGCCCGGCGCGGGGCGGCCCCTGCAAGACTCAGAGCCAGGCAGGTTTATACGTTAGAAGAATTTATTTGTTAGTACAAAAAAAAAAAAAACCCACCCCAAGAACAATACTTATGAATAAGCATAAAGTGTCGTTCCAGAGAGCCAGCCGAGCTAATGCCTAGCCCCAGCCCTTGGCCAGGGAGCCTCGTGCTGTGCCAGCAAGGTGCCTCCCGCAGCGCTGAGCAGGGACACCGTGTGCCACCCCACCGGCGAGGGCACGCGCCCAGGGTTGTGCGGTAGCCTGCAGCGTTCACGCCGGCTAACGGAGCTTGTATTTCACAACACCGTGTTTGTACCCTTTATGAATACCCGTTTCTCCCCAACTGTAGCCAACACGGAGCGCTCTGCACCGCAGCACCAGGGCTCAGACCCGTCTCTGTGCAGTCCCGCATTCGTAATCCTGAGCAATCCCCTTGTTAAGGGTCAGCGTCGTTTCAGCAAAGCTGACGTCCCTCCAGCAAAAACAATCTTGTCTAAACATACACCATGGAGCATTTGGCATTTTGGTAGAAGGAAGAACAGCGAAAAGGCAGAAGGGCAAAGGTGTTACATTAGTACAAGTAGGATGGGGCAGAGATCCTTCAAACCATCCACCTTGCACACTGTCCCTCACACACTATTTGGCCTCTTTCTAGGGGAAGCTTGAGTCACACTACTTGTTGCCAGAAACCATCCTGCACACCCTGAGTTTGCTTGCAAGTGTGCCGCACACCTACCATCTCCAGGGCTGGTCCCCAGTTCCACACCTCATCACCCCAGCTCCTGTGCAGCAGCACCATGCCTGCCCAGCTCTGGCTGCACAGGAGCTGATGCAGCCACTTATCCCACAATCTTTTCCATCTCGCCAGCTACACCCCTGGAAAAGCCATCCACCCACTTTGGAGACCTTGTGATTTCAAAGAAATCCTTTATCAGTTCAGGATGAGGAATGGTATCAGGAGTACAAGGTTGCTCTCATTTTACATCTTTAAACCCACCACCCAACTTAACTAAAGCAAGCACCACTAAAGCACATACCAGTCGACCCCCACCTGCACCCCTCCATAAGCCCCGCCTAATCAGACCATGCTCCACCTACAACTGACACCCTAAAACACACCCAGATGTTTGGTATTCACTTGCATGCGAGAACACACAACTCATTTTGAGCCTTGCTGCCAACGCATGGGGCAGAACAAGATGGTCCTACCTCTTCCCAGGGCTGGGACACTCACGTCACCCTTCCTGTACAGCTATCAGGATACACCACTGCAGCCATCTACTTCTACTCTGGTTTCCTCAAGAGACTGCACTGATTAGTTTAACTTGTTGGCCCTTTTCAGTGAAAGCTGAGAAACAAATCCCTCAAAACACAATTACTAATAGGCTTAACACACCACCCCCCACCCCAAATCCAAAAAACCCAACCATGTCTAGGTAGACGCCAGAGCCACAGCGTTCCCGCTGAAGAGACGGCCATGGCTCAAAGTTTAATTATGTATTCTTACACATCAGAGAATCCACAGGGAAGAAAGATCCTGTGACACAGCCGCATGGAATCTTTTGATCAGAGCGTATGCCTTAACACACACACAAATCAGGCTTCTGATTCTGCTGCTCTGTTCGTACAAACCCACTGAGCGCCCACGGACGGTCAGACCAGTCTGCAGCCAGTGGTGGGGATTCCCCCTCCTGCTGCCCATTCTCAGGCACAGCCTGCGGGGTTGGGGTGGGAGGGGGGAGCCAGGTCTGCTTTAGAAGTCAGGGTTATCTTACCCTTTTCCCCACACATGCTAAACAAATTGTGCCATCTTTGTCTGTTAAAAAGTTAATTTATTATCCTCTCCTGGTAAAATAGTGAAAAGCTATACTCTGTTAGACCAGTAAGATACAGAATTGCTCCAGCTCTTTGGAGGTTTTTAAATACAACTTTGAACCATATTATTCCACAAAGGAACACCAAGTACCTCTCAAGAAAGGAAACTCTATAATGGGCCAGAATTTTTCTTTTAAGCAAAAGAAGATGTATCCATTACAGGACTCCCTTTCTGTCCAGGTACCTTCTGTGAAATACCCTAACAGCCTCCGGGCAGCACATGCAAAATGTTTCCTAAGGAGAAATGGGTCTTAAAAAAGAAACTTGAGGAAGCAAGTTCCTTTTACAGCTGTCTTATAAGAAGGATACCAATGTACATTTTAATAGTTTTATTTTCATTTTCCCCAAGGGGAAACCAAAGGCAGAGAGGTGTTGAGAGATACATCACGCTGTCCTTATGGGTAAATCAATTTGCAAATGTTATTTTACCACTCTATAAAAAATACACGCAGGAGTGTGAAGGAAGCAAAATAGTTCAGAGTGGCTGTCACAGAGCAAATATGATAAATACAATCAGGTCTTTTTCCCCTAAAAATTGTGGCTCCTTGTGTTCCATAAAACCCAAGTCTTTAGTGGCCACATGCCACAGGAACAGAAATTTAAGTGGTAGCTTCCTCTGAGCATGTGCATACAAAAGCATTAGTAAAGAACTGTTCCCATGGGACCAGACAGCAGATGTGAGCAACAAAGCCCCATCCACAACAGGAAAGAAGATATGCATTCAGTTTTATTGTCTCAGCTTCCCATCCAAACTCCCGTAAACAGGTTCCATATCATTCAAGCATCTCTGGTAAGAGTCTATAGTCCTATAAAAAGACGTCATGCTGTAAAATCAAGATATTTACCCTGCATGTGTTATGTGAGCACGAAGAGGAACCACCTTCCAATTTCTCAAGCTATATCCAAGCAATCTGTAAGTGACTCAATTCCTTTCTCTGTCCAGCTGTGCTGTGGGAAACTCAGTGAAGTGCCTCTTCACAGGCAGAGACAGTTTGCTTTTAAAAATACTAAGGACACATTTTTTTATCTTTAAGAACTTCCTGGAAAGTTACTGTGGAAAATGAAAGTGCTCCCATGACGCGACTGATGTGCAAAGCTCTACAGACTTCTGTCCTTGCTTCGTTCTTAGTATTCCTTCCCTTAGCAGATTCATGTTAAGATGAGGCTCAATACATTGTAACGAGGCCATCGTCCACCAGTAACAAGCAGGTAGACACTGGAAAATGTTTTATGTTTAATCATAAAACATGGAATAAGCCCAAAAGATGCTGTTCAGATATGACTGGGATGGTGCCTCGAGTGGGTTTATATACCAATGGCCTGTAACACTCGCTTTTCATTCTCATTGAGATGGTCTGAAAACATTGCATAGCAGGGCTGCTGTGCAAACTGACAGAGGAAGTCAGTGAGATAGGCCTGAAAGGAAGACAGAAAGATCCAGTTAGTGTCAGGTCACCTTGGAAATCCTGTTTTTTTCATGTATGACAAGATAAACCTCAACATGCACCAAGTCAGACAAAGGGATTGCAGGGAACAGAAAAGCGATGCAGGAGGAGGAGGAAGGGCAGCAGCAGAGGGGAAAGGGTTAATAAAGGGCTGCCAGGTGGTGGTATAAAACAGGAGCAAAGTATCATACAGGGGCTGCATCTGGATGGGAGCATCTCCCAGTGGGGTAGGAAATGGTCATGTTCAGTCTCAAATCTACCTCTGGCTTCAGCAAATACCCATGAAGCTCATGGGTAGAAAAGTCTCATCTCACTCCGTTCAAAAAGTTTTGTTTTTCCAAGTTACAGATATTGATCCAATAAAAAGAAATAGCTCCAGGCATTCTTGGGAGACACAGCGCTTCCCAAATTTCAATGAACTGAATACATCTGGGACAACAATCCATAACTAGAGTTTACAGTTTTAAAGTAAAAAACAAAAAAATTAAGTTTATAAATAATAAGAATCTGATTTTTAAAACTCATTTTACATCATCACCTGGAGATCTATTTGGTAAAGAGGGTCCTTTAATGCATCTGGATCATCCTCTTCATCATCTTCATAGTAATCCTCATCTGTCAGAGGCAAATAAGCAGGTTTTAACATCAAACAGAGCAAAACATCTCAGGAATTATTCTATTAGACTACTGTTGAAATCCAAGCATCCAAAAAGAAATAGTTTCAGCACTGCTGGGTAAAAAAAAAAAAAAAAGTATCCAGCATATTCACTCCTTAAATTCAGATGATGAGAAAACATTACACTCCAAGACAGGAAGGGTCATAGTGGGAGCTCTCAGGAACATGCAGCTGAGATGAACATAGACAGGATACTAGCCAAGCAGGGTTTTTAGTTCTGTGCAGTATTATCTTATGCCTTAATCTTATGTCAGGGTGACACATGTCCAATTCCAAGCTAATGTGAGTAGTCTCCCTTCTTATATTTCCCTGTAAGGTTCTCGTGGAAGGCGGAGTGCAAGCTGGAGAGCAGAGGAAAGGAGACGTTATACCCGCTCCATCTTTATGCAGCTATTATTTTTGAAGGTCACTCCACAAACACCCTCATCCACTGCTACAACATTGTCATTCCAAAGTCATGTCCACACCTTCAAGCATCAGTCTTCTCTTTAGAAGAAATACCTACATGCACCCCACAGCAGCACAAAGCCCATGTAACATCTGGACTCTCAGGCGAAAAATGCAGTTATTTAATCATCATGTTACTCAAGACACGTCCCTCTTACAGAAAGAGCTCCTTGTTCAACATGCCAGTATAATATCTCCTTCTGTTACCTGCAGTCTCTGTTGAGCTGCTGTCAAGGAAAGAAAACTCTGACTATGAGGCCATCTACATTCTTTTGGCTTTGAGTAAGAGCTTTAAAGATGTTACTTACCATACTTGTTTGTGGAAAGAATATCTGACAAGAACTGTCCTGCTAAGCCTTCATCTTCGTCCTCATCCTCTTCCTGATCCTCCCACATATCATTTGAATCATCTGTTTAGAAAACAAGAATTACTAGAAATAAACAAAACCTAAGAGGTTCGGTCTGCCGGTCACTATACAGGGGGCTGTTTTCAGGGAAACTTCCCTGCTCATGTAGGTGGATGAAGGGGAACACCTGCAACCTTTACCATCCCTTTGGAATGAGTAACCCAAAAACTGGAGCTAAGCAAAAAGCAGCTGCAAGAATGGATACCCGGAGCAGGAAGAAAGGCAAACCACATACACCAGGAAAGGATAATTTTATTGGCATATAGTCACGTCCTGTCTGCCAAAAAAAATTTTCAGGTTTAAGAACACACAACACTGACTTTATTCTTTGGATCACTATTTAAGCTTTTGTAATTACAGATATACCATTTATCATCGTTTCTTACTATTATAAATGCTTCTGAAGAGATTATAGAGTAGATTAAGCCATGCAAAGAGGAAAAGCAAAGCCAGTATTTTACCTTGGCTCCAATCTGCAGTTGTCTGCCTAGATGCATTTGCTTCCATCGCATTAGAGAGTTCGTTTATTATTAATTTTAGGATTTTTACTAGCAAGGGAATGTTTGTCCAGCGTTCAGGGTCTAAAAGAGAAGATAGATATTCGTACTGCCTTTAATAAAAAATTGTTAAAACACAAACCTTTTCTGTAGTGGTTGGTTTTTGGTTTTTTTGTTTTTTTGTGTTTGTTTTTTTTGTTTTGTTTTGTTTTTTTTTTTTAATTTTACCATACATTTAAAATGCTGACAGATGAGCAAAAGCTTTCAGGTTGGGAGGAAAAAGGGACTGACAAAAATCCCCAAATATTCCTTCCATATGTCTTCACAACTAGATTTCCAGAGACCTTAACTCCAATATCAAATCTTGCCTACTTTGAATGAAGAAAAGGCATAGTTAAAATCTTCACAGCTGAACTAATCTGTGAGCCTACTCAGTGATAGTTATACTTCATTAAGCATTCTTCTCTAAAGTTATTTGTGCACATTTAACAGCACTTTCAAGTAAACGAGCAGTGCAGCACTCCTACACGTGGCTCTACCCTTTCTGAGACACTGCAAGCTCCAACCTCTGCTCACCAAAGCTCCTGCATGGCCCAATTATGCCACAGGGATAGCTAGACAGTGCTTCTGTCCTTGACTGCAGAAGTAAAGATCCTACCAAATAAAGAAACTGGGAGCACCATTTTTAACCCTTTAGGTGCTCCCATGCTAGCCATCTCTGTTCTTCTATCTGACTAGACAATAGCCAAGTTTGTTTGGTTTGTGCTGTTTGGGGTTTTTTTCAGCAAAGAATAAGGTAGCAGGTGTTTTTTTGTGGGGACTCTTTACCTCATACTTCTAGTGCCTTCCCCTGTTTATTTCCCTTACTAACTGTTACTGCAACACCCCAAATGCCCCTGCAGCAGCTGAAGGCTCAAGGAACACCAAATGCCTCAAGGGGCGTCCGGTTTGGATCAGCACAGCTGTTACGCCCTGTCCCGCAACTGGCTGAGCTGAAGCTCTAGCACAGCAAGCTGCAGAACCCAGGTTTTGACTGAACGTTGAGGACAGCGGCTCCCCAGTGTTGTCCCCTCTGGGGCTCAGTCCGCAGAAAAACACCTGCTCAGCGCTCTCTTCGATTCAGCATATGCACCTCTACATAGTATTCTCCAATAAAGGATTTACAGTTCAGCCAATTAAAAATAAGACGAGTCTTACGCAGGAGACTGGCCAAGCTTTCCTTAAAAGTGATATCTAACTTGTTGAAATCATTGCTGGTATTTGTCAAAGTTTGTCTCAAAAAAAAAAAAAAAAAAAAACACCAAACAAAAAAACCCAACCAACCAAACCACAAACACCACAACCCAAAAACAAACCACCTGCTTTGTTTTTAAACCTCTGCATTCACCAAATACACTTTCCTCTCAGAGAAGCTACCAGACACCATGAAATTATAAATGGTATCTCATTAGAGAAAAAGGATGATGCAAAATAACAGGGAGTAATTCCCTATCCCATAATCACCTCATCCACTTATATTAAATCAGACACATCAGGAGTCTTCCAAATCAGTCTCTGGCAGAATTAAAGTAATAATGGATATGTTAAGCACATGATGTATGGATTAGCTCTAAAAAACAACATGCACCTCTACAGGAAATACCTCCCATAACTTTGTGTGATCTGCAAGATCTATTTTACAGCCTTACATAGCATCTACTAACAGGAGAAAAACCCTAAAACTTAAAACCAGCAAAATGATTGCTTACTTTTGGCCGACTTTGATCGTGTCCGTATTCCTTCATCCATATTAAATATCTCTTCTCCCTTTACTCTAATGTCCTGAAGTCGCTTGTCGTCTGTGTTGATGCCATACTGAAGGAGTTTGCACAATGCTACAGAGCTGGGGAGCAGGGAACAGAAAAATTACAGATGAGAATGTCCCTGAGCTGCCTGGCTTTCACAGTGAACTGTTAATAGTGAGCACATCTCCAGAGCAGACATTCGCAGACATTCAGATGCCCTTTATTCTACATTTTTGCCAAGAACAAACACCACGGAACTTTCCTATTTCTCCTGCTTTATGTCAGCATCTGAAACTGGACTCATGTCCTGACCTGCCCAGCAAGCTAAAAACTGACAAAGATGTGGATTAAACACAACCGAACAGTGCATACATACATTAAAAGCTTTTCCATTTCAGAAGGGCCACGAGGTTAAACACACTCCTGAAGCATCATGTTCACTTGAAGATGGAATTAAGAGGAAAGCAGGGGCAATAAGGTAGTAATTCGGTTGATCTGCAGCCATGAACATCTCCTACTTTTCTGCACTCTCAAAGCTCTTTTTCACCTCTTGTCCTTCATAGCTCAGCTACACTCAGACCCTCTGCTTGTTCCCTCAGTATCTTCATGCGTGCTTTCCATCTCTGCTGCTCAGATTTCTACACCACACTTTCAAATCGTCTCCAGTTCCAGGCTGTTTACAAGCCATACTGAGGATGACTGACTACGGGTTAGGGCAACCAGTTTATGCCTGGCACTCTTAAATTTCTCTCCTGGCTCCACAGGTCTCAAACCACAGTTTCGGAGTTCCATGGAACTCCCTCTTTTCATGCTTTCACCTCACACCCTCATCCTCTCCCACACTGTGGCTCTGAGTCCCCATACAGCTCGTTTGGATGTAGATCGTACATGCCACCCGAGTTGCTTGAAGTATACCCATCCTTTCATCAGGCAAGTCAGGGCAAATAGCCACTTCAACCCTGCCACTCACAGGGATGAGGACTGACGCACACAGAAGGTGTCAGCTACCTTCACGTTTCTCTTAGCAGCTCTAAAGAGGAGGGTCCTCAGAGCAGGCGTTGCTTTTCTCCAGTATGCACAAATCCCCTAGCATTTTCTGTTGCACAGTAAGCATCACTGTAAATAACCCAATCTGTTTTATCTGTGGCCATAAGCAGTCTTGGGGATGCGCAGATAACCCTGCTCTGTCAAAATGGGGATAAACCACTGCTTTTAGGGATGAAACCAAGTGTTACTAAAACCAGCATCCGATCCCCAAATCAGACTGCCTCTTATTCTGCATGATCACTGACAAATTTCCATTTTAAACATGCGTTTTATTTATTTCACAGGCTATTTGACTGCCTTGTAACAAGAACACACTAACACATACTAAAAAGTCAGTTTAACAGCTTGTAAGACCCCTAAGAATGGTCTGTTAGGCTTCACATTTTCAGAAAAAATCAAAGACAGCAGCTATAGCAAAATTTAAATTAATAGAGAATACTTCATGCTTTGGAATATTGTACTCAGCCTCCACTAGAACACAAATGTGCTCCTAGAGCAAAAGGGAAA